ACGGATGGAGGGAGATACCCGTTTGTTGTTTAGTAGATTAACGTGCGCTGTCTCATGTCCAAAAAATTCACGAAGAAGTCCTTTTTTGTGGTTGAATTCGTCTATTAAATTCCCCTCACCCATGTATGGTGGAGTCCACTCATGTATAAAAGCGTTTATCCGGTGCTCCTGATAAACAACCCCATTTTGGTAAACGGAATTTCACATACTCAACTATGATCCCAGTGTTTATAAAAGAAACGATGAGATATCAATGTAATGTGTGGCGCTACTTGTGTCGACCACGTTTTGGTCCGCGTTTATGCAAGCGCCGTTGGATTAGGCTAAATATGCTGCTTGTATGGCGTTTCGATTTGTCCTCTCGGATCCTCGACCCAACAGTGAGAGTGTCGAGTAATTCTGGGGTAGTCTGAACTTCGGAAGAGGTCACTTCAAACTTTCTTGACATTGGAGGTGCCAGGTTGCGTACCGCGCTAGTCCAAATTGGCTGGCTGTGAGGTAATGATTCGCCGACTGGAGTTGGTGACATGTAGTACCTTGAATTGTGGCGTGGGATGCGAGGAGTGATCGGTGTCTGTCCAAGTGAGGCCGACTTATCACTACCATCTTTGAAGGAAGGACGTTCTTTTTTAACGAAATACCCATCCACATTTTCAATGTATACAAGAGAGAAGTTATGTATGTTTGGAGGTCTGTGTACGACGGATGAACTCGGAGGGATTTTGGTTATTGGAGGGTCATATTTTACTGATCTGAACAATTTTGGGGATTTCACATCACCTACTACTGGTCTGAAGTGGGCAACCCCGATTCTTGAAGTGACTGAAGTGAGTTTATACATTGGGATGGAAAGTTCACCCTCCACGTAATTCACAATGAATTTTACACGATTGAGGGAACAGCAATTCCACTGAACGATAGGAGTACAATATTCAATTTTGCTGTAGTGCTCCTTGTACACGTTAGTAACCTCAGAATAGCATCTGTTCAAGTAGTATGTATAATCGATAGTGTGTCCCATTTTTCCCTTTCTCTGTCTGCTCGGCAATGACAAGTCCGTTTCGGACCTCTCTTTCAAAATAGAGCGGATGGGTAATGTGTGTGTCACAGTGTTGTTAATCAGTGTGCCTCCGTTGTGTGAGGATCTTCTTGTGGTGCTGTTTGTGGATTGCGTAACAACAGTGATAAAATTTTGACACATGGAGGGCATCTTCTTAGACGTCTTCCAAGTTGAAGGTCCTCGAGAACATTGCATCGGTGGTGCTGGCTGATTTAACATCACCCCACATGACACGTTAGAAGTGGCGTACTTTTTCTGACCGTCTGATTTGTGTTGCACGCGGACATTTCTAGATGACTCCTTCTTCCTCAAATCTTTCGTTTGTGTAGCTTTTGTTTGAGCTATGGAAGATCGTTTAGAAACCTCAAAAAATCCAATGTGCTGGTCGCAGGCAAAGGAGTGCTGAGGAGGAATACATTTGAGAATCCGTAGCATTTCCAATGCATGTCGATTCATGATGCTCGAGGAGCTACCACTTTTACAGCTAGGACGTCGTGCCTGACCGTCAAGGAAGTGTGAACAATTCCTTGGATCCTGAATCCATCTATCTGCCTCATCAATGTCACACTCAACTAAAACTACTTGATGACGTTGATTGATTCCTTGATCATAATTCGGGTACATAGTATGGAACTGAGCAGAAAATCCAAAAAGAATAGGACATAAAGACGCCCTCCTAGGTGTACTCCGAAAATAAAACTCGTGCAGGCGGGAGGACTATTGTTAAGTACGTCACAGACATGCTGCGAATTCACGTGCATCAATTGAGACAAATCAATCTGTGGCGCGTGAACCGCCGAATTCCCAGCCCTTGACTCTCGTGAAGAGCTATTCGTCAGTTAGCCTCCGCTAAAGAAACTAAGGAAAAAACATGGCCCACGCATTCCCGCCATCCAAAGACAAGAGTACAGTCGGCATAAATATAAAGTCTAATGTCACAGAGATAGCATATTTAAGCAGTTGACATGATAGAAAAACGACAACGGGGACGGATCGTTTGGTCGTGTATACAGAGGACTGAAAGGCTACATTTTATGCCTACATAGGTAAGCATTGCTACTATCCAGTAAGTGCTGGTTGATGCAGTCCCGACTTATCTGAGTCTAATTTCATAAAATTCTTCAGTATTGGGTAGATGTTATTGAAGGCCTGGTAGATCTCATCCCGCACTTTGGCACCTGTGAAGGATGAAAAGTAGACAATAAGACGTAATTTGTTTGCGAATTTCATAGCAATATTACAAAAAACTGCAGTGAAGCATGAAAACGCCTACCGGTCAAAACGATTTTTCCTGACACGAAAATCAAAAGGACAATCTTGGGTTTTTGCATCCGATACACAAGACCGGGGAACAATTCCGGTTCATATCTAAATAGGAGAATTCGCTTCGTATTACTTGCTTTAAAATACGCACAATTCGGTTGGTTTAGGACTTACGTAGTAAATTTTTTTTGTGCAGCATTTAGACCTTCCAGACGGATATGAAACCGTACGTCACAGGAACCCACCATGTTTTGAATTGTAAAACCCTTGAATCGTGCCTAAAGTAAGCAAGCGAAATTATCGATAAACAAAGTTTACGTATCTCAATCACTAAGTCATACTCGATGTTGTAAAGCTGCATGACCTATTGACGACTTTGTGTTTCAATTCAACGGTCTGAGAACTATTAAGCATCAAATATGAATTTAAGCACACAGACAAACTGCAAATAACAGGATACTAGATGACAGTAAAAGTGATTCTTACATCGAAGCCCAACTTTTGAATAATTCGAGCATACTTGCGCGCTGCAAGACGCGCCTCATTCTCGCTTTTGGCCCCAGTGCAGACCATTTTTCCAGAGGAGAAGATGAGTGCGGTAGTTCGTGGCTCTCGAATACGCATGATCACAGCGGCGAATCGCTTGGGATTATATTCAGCATTGCGAGCACTTCGAGCTATTCGTCTCAAGTCCAGCCTTATTTCGAGATTTACTGTGCACACGATATTTCTGGAAACAAAAATGATTTCATCTGAGTGCATTTATGTATAAAGAGGCCATTTTGACATATTTGAACAAATGAGTTATGACAAGGATAAAAGATTCTCAAAAAAGATGGTAAACAAATAATATAATTACTGTAGCTGAGGCTGGGGTATTACACCATCCCGTTCATGGAATGGTGTACCGGGAGTATTTGGAGTATATGGCGGCCTACTATGCGCCTGGGCGCTCGAAGGAGCTGCGTAGCTTCCGACAACACTGACGAGCTGATTGATAGGAGTTGGCTGCATCTGCTCAACAGAACCCGGGGGGTTGCTGGTGAGGATACTGCCAATGCTCACATTGCTGGGTTGCGGAGTCCACGAAGGACTGCAAATAACCAAATACACTCCGAATGATTCGAAATGCGAGGAAAACACCTTACTACTACTGACAGTCAAAATTAAGACTAGCTATGGAATGTGTCGCATACATAATGTGAGAATAATAAGAGAAGATTCGGCATTTAAAAGCTCGCAAACAAAACAAACTAATTGTGTTGAAAAATGAAATGTGAAGTGTAAATAATCTTTCCACAAAGTTTAGACGTAAATCATTTATCTTAGAAAAAGAATATGCAACCGAGTGATTGCATTAGTGAAGGAATTAACACCTATATGTCCACGACCACACCCTACAAGAGAAACAACCACGGAGGAACCCGACCAACTCACTTCATCTCAAAGTATATAATAAATACGGAACGCACCAGCCAATCAAGTCAAAACCACTTAAACAAAATTAAGAAAACAACATAAGCTTAAGATCAACTCCCTTTATCAAATATTTAATTATATTTGGATTGCACATCACTGCCATTAAGCAAAAATATTAAAACATCAAAGATTAAAACCATTAAATATGAGGTGATTATGTTATATTTGCCCTAAAAACTTCTTAGCACGACACAGGGCAACACACCAAACTGCTGTAATTAAGTACCCACTTGCGACCAGCGCAAAAATAATTCGGATGGCTTACAGCTATCAATCAATGTGAGTTGCATCAAGGGCGTCTCCTAACTCCGAAAGGATTTGAAATTTTTAAATTAATCAAGGTAGCGTAGTCCCATATTTAAGCGGTGTATTGTATGCCTGGCGGTTGCTTTGGTTTTTGCGCGGGCTGGTCGTCGTGCTTAGCCAAGGTCTGAACTGCCTTCCGTCTTCCCAACTTAATGTCTTCTACCTAGTGGAAAGTCTAGGGACTCTACCGTAGTCTGTTAATGCGGCAACTAAAAGCTCCGCGCATCTGGCGGATTAGAGGAAAAATGGATGAGTGAATATAAGTTTAGTGAGGCATGGTTGGTGAACCTTCTCCATAAGGGTCATCACGAATGAGAAACGGGCAAGGGAGAATCGAAGGTGTCCCGACCAAAGATAATTGTCTTCGCTCTCACTTGCCGACCAAGGGTGAAGCTTGTGTTTTAGATCAGCTCAACCGGTCGGAGGCTAATTGCACTGGGGTAGTTTTTCTCGGTCCAAATGTACTCCACACTGACAAAATGATGTGACTAGCAAGCTGGCAAATTCTCTTACACCTGTTGCCAAAAAATTAGTGTTTCCGACACTCTTAATTTAGGTACATTCCGCGGCTTCATTGTTGAAACACATCTCACCATCCGCCTTAAAACTATAAAGTAGGATGTCGATCTAAAGACAAAGGTTGTGAATGTGAGTGAAAGTTTTGCAGTAAAACAAAAGAAAACATCTGTTTTGGTTTCTGCAGCGTGCCATAGCTACTTTGTGGGTAAGAGAAGGCGCAGTACGTGAGTTGCTTGGCCCGGAGACCAGCCCACCCAATCAAGGTACTTTAACCGCCTTAGTGATCGACTGTTAAACCAAAATACATATTACACTGTAGTGTAATACTATATTTACGTGAATACCTCTATGACTGGCGGTCACTGTAGTACACCCTTTGCTCTCGGCTACGCTGGCCGAAGCCCAACTCCCTCACATTGCTCCTGACCACAAGTGATCATCTCTACCTAGTACCTTCTTCCACCTAGTGGAAAGTCCCAAGTCAAGGCATTATTGGGAAGATTGAGCTTGCTGCTATAATACTTTGTTTAATTGGCCTGTTACATCAGTTGCGGCAAATTAAGTGGCCGGTATGCCTCTGCCGTTCGGGCAAACCTCTGGGCCATGCCAACGGCACATTTCGCTTACACTTTGCCTGAATATATGCAGGCTACACAAGTTACGTGCCTCCCCTTCCCATCACAAAAGTCGCAAGTTGCTACTTTGATGGCAGCTAAGAGCGAACCCGACCCTAAAAGAACTCCTTTTTTAGACCCATCGTCTGTAACTAGCGTTTGCTTTGCGAATGAAATTCATGTGATTTCTACACAACGCAATGGCCACAGATGTTACGCAGTTTCGTCACCTACTTCATCTACCACTTGGAGCGAGCTATCTAAGAAATGCTTAGTTATGAAATTTTTTTACTGCACCCTCGCGGCTGTTTTATAGTTTTACCTTTCCTTGTGTTCTGAATTTGCCAGCTTACCAGATTAAGGGGAAGGAAAGGGTGATGCTGTTCGTACCGACAGTCTTCGGTTGCTACTGGGCTGCAAATAGTGGAGGGTGAGTTTGTGTGTTCGCTGACTCCTCCCCTTGGTGATCTTACTTGGTGGCACTAGCAGGAAGGAAAGGCAATGTAATTATTGTTGGAACGTAATGTTTGGCACCTGGACTTTTTGGGTGCATCAAGTTGTCGCCTACCACAATAAAATGTAGTGGACTGATTAGTGCTGGTGCAGGTATTGCCAATGCTTTGTCAACTGAATAAGAAGGGGTTGTTAGCAATGACTTGGAGCTGGTAGTAAGGAGTTGTAGCTTTGCTGCTTGGCTGGTAAGGAGTGGGCATTTGTTCGTTGGTGAATATTCACTTCACATGTCTGTTTATCTGCATGTTTCGTGGTGTTGCTGGAAGGAGGGTGAGGGTAGAAATGGGAGTTGATGTTGGAAGGAGGGGATGGTGAAGCACGGACCTGAGCACTGGCAGTAATTGGAATTGCAGTCCTCAGTGGGTGCCACTACCCATCATCAAGAGAGCGTGATGTGTGTCAGAGTGGACATGCTTAGGTGCTCTTTCGATCCCCACTTGACGTGGCGTAGGGAGTAGTGGAGGTGGGGTTGGCACTTTGTATTAAAATGGGCAAATATTTTGCTTCATGTAATGATGGTGCTTTCTTACTTAACTGGCGATGAATGTGGGTTAGGAGGCGTTTAGGCTTTTTGGAGCACCGTACACATGGCGCAGGGTGTGGTGCTCACTCAACACTTTCTCATTACAAGTGTCTCTTCCCTGTGCCTGTGAGCTTGCATTCATCCACTTCCCTAAGTACGTGTTTACTTGCGGCAGTCGCTGTTGAGGCTTTGTTGTTGTCAACATGGCGTCTCTGGTTGTATTGGAGAGTGGCGCTGCGTAGCATTGTGTAGGGATTAGCTGGAACCTCTTCTGCTGATTTGCCGGTTCCATAAATGAAGGATTGCCTTGCTGCAATGCAGGGTGCAATGTGTTGAAAGCGCGGCAAAGACTTACCAATCTCTCTCTCTCTTTGTTTGCTATTCTTTTCTTGCTTGTTTTGGTGGCTGTTGAGCTCCTAGACGTCTCTTTCACTGCAACAAGAGTGGCTTCGGTAGGTAAGACATGATTTCGGCGGAGTCAGGTATCAATTTTACTAAGTATCTGGGAGCCACGGCTCATTTGCTTCCTAACGCGTGGTAACTTCCGATTGGGCGCACTTATTGGCATTTCTGCTATGGAGAGGGCCGGTGAAGAAGACGCGTAAGGGTGGCTGCAGTTGATTGCAAAAGCATCAGTTCCCTCAACTGCAGTTCACCAAATAACCTCGAGTTTGTAAGTTCACAACGGTTAAGTCGACTGAGGAGAAATGGTGTGGCAGGACATTGAGCGATTTGTTATGTTGATGACGCGGGTGAATTGGGATGCATTGTAAGAGGCTGCAGAGGCTGAATTCGATAGAGGCAGATTTTCATTGTTTGGCAACGTCTTAATCGGTGGGCGAGAAATGAGGCTCAAGTGGGGAGCAGAGAACGCCAATCTCGCCTGTAGCATTGGTGTGTACAGTTTGGGTAGGTGTTGCGGTTTGTTTTGCGTGGCAGCAAAGACGGAGGAGGAGGCGTGGGAAGAGGGAACGGGGAGGAGCCCTTCCCCACTCCCTCTTCCCTCACCTCGTTTATGCTTAGCACTACCTTCGTACTTGCAATGTGAGTAAAAGTGGTACGGGACGGCATGCAGTTAAAGGGCGGAAGAAAGAGAATCAAAAGGCAGTGGAGGAGGGGATCAGGGTGCACTTGTGCATATTTGGTCTGCATTGTTGATGCACAGGCTATCGTCATGGCAGTAGTGGAAGGTATAACGCTTCAGCATTGAGCGTTAAGCGTGGAAGAAAGAGGGCACTGTGTCACAATGTCATGAATGGGCTATTTATTTGAGCCACCTGTATTGTTGTAGTTGGTGGTGGTGACGGCGGCGGTGAAGGCGGCGGCGGATTATGTGGAATGAGAGGAAGCGGAGCGGCGTAGCGTAGCGTGGCAAGAGCAGATTAATCGTTGCAGTAAATCATATAAGGTCACGACGATGTTAGCTAATTCGCTTTGGTAACAATCGTTGGTCCTTTTATCGATAGGTGCAGCAAATATGGTGTTAAGATTGGCGGTGAGGAAGGTAGGAAGGTGACAAAAACAGACAATAGGCATATACGGGTAGAAATGTATCACTTCACCTCCGCCGTCACCATATGCCCCAACGAAGACGAGGTGTGGATTCTGTCAACGCGGCAATAATCGCATGTCTTTCTACAAATCTGCCAGCCACTGATGGTGGGAGGAGCGGAGCCATGTATCATTCCTTTTAAGCATCATATACATGCGATGGGAGGAGGTGAC